TGGCCGGCGACGTGGAGGAGCTCATTCCACGCGCCTGAGGCGGAGGTGGTGCGAGGGTAGGGGGCTGGTGTGGCTCTGCGGACGGGCGGGAGGGTCTCTTGCAAAGGGCGGGGGGGGGGGGGGGGAGCGGGGGGGGGGGGGGGATAAAAAGGAGGGGAGGGAGGGGAGGGAAAGGAAAGGAAAGGGCGCCTTCCTTGCCCTTCTGCGTCTTGAGGTCGAGGCGGGCCCCCTAGGAAGCGTCCAGGAAGCGTCCAGGTAGCGTCCAGGAAGTGTCTCGGACCACACCTTGAGGTCGGCCCGGGCCACCTGGATGAAGAGGGGGGGGGGGTCCTTGCCCCCTTGGTCCTTGAGCAAAGTCTCGATGCCTATACAGTCGTCGGCTCACGGAATGGAGCACGCCATATCCTCTCAACAGCGTCGGCATGCCGGGGAAAAAGGCGGCATGCCGCCTTTCGTCCCGCTCTTCCAGTTGTAGGAAAGGCCGAGGCGGTACTTGAAATTTGCCTTGTCCCCGTTCCCGTCGTCGAGGATGACGTCGGGCACGGTGAGCTCGAGGAGCTGTGCAATGCGGCAGCCATGCGGAGAGTGAGAGGGGGGGGGGGAGGGGGGTAGCGGGAAGGGGGAGAGGGGGGAAGCGTGGCATATCACCAAACACACACATCAAAGCGCCGCGCACCCCGCACATGCGGAGACGCGCGTAGAGGTGCGTGTGTGTGAGGGGCACGCACACCTGCCAGCCGACGATGTTGAAACTCCAGAAGGTGCCTCCCATCGCCTTGTCCCACTCGAACTTGCGCACGGGCTGGCCGTTGAGGGTAACGTCGTTGGTCTTGTTGTCGATGGTAACCTCTCCGGGGCCTTGGACGAGGACTTCGTTACCCGCTTTGTCGTAGAAGCACACGGCCTCCTGGGCGTTGAAGGGGACGGTATGGCTACCCATGAGGAGGTTGGATCTGTGCGCGAGGGCGCACGGCAGGTGTCAGATCGGGACGATCAGATGAGCATAGCGCTGGGGGAGGGGCGGCCGGGAACACAGCCGCGGTGGATCGAAGGCGTGGCTCCTCGAAGGCGCGAGTCGCAACACTCCCCGATGGCCAGAACTGTGTGCCTCTCTCCCGGGGTGCAAGAACCGCCGGCCGGCGCGCGGCCCTGCTCTTTTCCGGGCGCCGAGCTGCGGCGGTGAGGGGAGATTCTACGTGGCGGGGGCGGCCGCTCTCCTAGCGGGTTGTTCGTGCGTCTTGAGCGGTGGGCGAGCTTCGTCCCACCTTGTTCCAAGTCCGCCGGCCGAGGGAAACAAGGCGGCTGCCCTCCCCTAAACGCTGAAATCTGAGCGTGCAAAAAGAAAATTTCCCTGACGGCAATTCTTTTGCTGCAAACATATCCTATGCGAGAGAGATCCCCTGTGCCCTGTGCCCAGCCCTCTCCGCGCGGCGATGCGCCCTCCCCCCTCGCTTTTGCAAAATCCTGCAAAGGTGGGGACGTGTCTGTCCTCGACCCAGCCCTAGCTTGGGATGTCCGTTGTAGAGAGAGATTTTTAGCAATACCAAACAAATCTAACACTCACACGTCGGAGCCCTGTTCACGCGCGCGCGAGACGTGCAGACAGGGTTGCCAGGTGAGAGCGAATGGCGCGGTTCACGCCTCGCACAACAGAGAGAGAGATGCGCTCTGCATGGTGGGACATAAAAGAGAGCGAGTACTTGGGCGAGTAGGCCGTGCGGTCGACGCTGCCGCGCGCGACTTTGCGCGCGAGGCGGCGCAGCTTGAGAACGGCGGTGGGCGAGAAGCCGCCGCCGAACGTCTCGTGGAGCAGCAGGTTGAAGTTGTTGCGCTTGACAAAGATCGCGTCGTGGTAGAAACCGCGATGCGCCTTGACGTAGCCGTGGCCGGTCTTGTGGGAGAAGGGTTGGCCGGGCTGCCCGCGCGCCTTGCAGCCCATGTTTAGGCGGCGGGCCTTCTCTTCGGTGTTACCAAAGGCGTAGGAGTGGCCAACGGAGGCGGGCGTGCCGCCACTCGAGGCGTTGCCAACGCCCGGCGAGGAGGTCTTGAGGAGGGGCGTCCAGAGCTTGACTTCATTCACGTCATCGCACCCTCCCGGGCCAGCGTGGGGTTCCGCAAGGTCGACCTTGTACCCCTCGTTGTACTGCCGGGTGAGCTCTGGTTTCTCCTTGTCACCGTGCACGACCGGCGCGTTGGCCGGGGCGCGCATCGCGTCCGCCCAGGCGGCGAGGACGCCGTCGTGGGGCCGCCGGTGGTGGGCCTTGTTGTAAAGGTAGTCGCCGAAGAAATCGACTGGCATGCCCCGCTCGAGCGCGACCCGAAGGGTGGGAAGCGCCGCGGAGAGCCAAAGGCCGAGCTTTCGCTGGAGCATGTTTTGTTTGTCCGTTGTATTTATTTATTTATTGGTGCAAAAAATCTTTTAGGCGAGCTTCTGTGCTGCGGACAGTTCTTCTTTCAACCATCGTCGCCAGCTCCTTCCCACTTTGGCACCCTTTGGAATCCCTTTGGCGCCCTTTGGCACCCTTGGCTCCCTTTCGGACCATCGCGGATCGCGACGCCCCGGGCGAGCTTGCAAGTGCGCTCGATTTCTTCCCCCAATCCTTCCTCGTGCGACCGATCGTGCGACCGATCGATTTCTTCCCCCAACCCTTCCTCGTGCGCCGAGCGTGCTGCCCAGCTCGGGCGGCGGCGTCGTCGTCATCGGCATTGTGGCGGGACGTAGCATTCGCTGCAACCGCAAGCGCGTCAGCGATGGGGCACGGTTTGCCGCACTGGCGCCTCGTGCGATTGTGGCACACGTCGCGGTCGAAGAGCGGCGTCGTGCGGAGGCGCCTGGCGTTCGGTTCGGGGCCGCACAAGACCGGGTGCCTGTAGCGTCCGAGCGCCTGCATGAGCTGGCGCGCGTAGTCGGTGTGCGCGTCCTGGACGGCCTTTCGGCATCCCTCGTAGTAGTGGTAGTCGTACGAGCCGGCGAGGTGAATCCGTACAGATTCGTCACGCCGCGCTCGCACCACTTGGACAGCGCGAGCATGCCGAGGCTGCCGCTCATCCACGCGTGCCTGCCCTTGACGCTCCGCGCGGCGGGGCCCGCCAGAACGCGCGCGTCGGCGCTCCTCGGGCACAGCCGCTGCGCGCACCTCGCATACGTGCCAAACCCGGAGTTCAGGATCATGTACTCGCGGGGGCAGCACGCGTTGTCCTTGGGGAACCCAAGGAAGGCGGAGCACGTGGATGGGTCGGCGCGGTCGGGATCTGCTTCGTCCACGGCGCCCCGCCGCCCCTCTTCGCGCACCCCGCCAGGACCTTGCCGATCGCGTACGTGTTGTACAGGCGGACGTCGGTGCGATTCCCGACGAAACGCTCGAACCCCTCGACCGGCGCGTCGTTGAAGCGTACCACCAGGTCCGCCCGATCGATCTCGGCCCCGCGAGCGGGGTGGAACAGAAGCGAGCCGCTGCTCCCGACGTCCTGACCATGCCTCGTTTCCGTTGTCGGGCGCAGCTGTGAGTGCGCGCTGACAGCATGGCCAGCAGCTCGTCGGTGCTCTTGTTCGAGTTTACGTTTCTCGCGCCGCGCACGCACAAGTCGTCGTGGTCGTCCTCGCCTTGGTCGCGCATGCCCCGGAAGGCGTTCGACATGGCCTTCGAGTTAATTCAAGTTGTTCGCTGTCAGAGTGTCAGAGCGACGTCGCTCCGATCAGGCACGCTGATCGCTGTTCAAATCGTGGGGCTGTTCACGCTTCACAGGTAAGTGTAAGCGGGGCAGCTGAGTAGATACAGCTAATCCTCTTGTGTCCACACCTGCAAGAGCAGGTGTGAACCGATTTCGGCCTTAGCCGTCGGCGCCAATAGCGTGCTTGCCAAGTAGTACGCAGTTGGATTCCGAGGGTGTCCCATCACAAGTTCGGCTGCCGACAGACAATATTGTCCCTTAGTCGACAGCACCCGCCTTTGCGCTTTGGACGGTGCTCTGACACTGACTGGCTTTGATAACATATTTCTTAAAACGGACATCCCAAGCAGGGCTGGGTCGAGGACAGACACGTCCCCACCTTTGCAGGATTTTGCTAAGGCGAGGGGGGAGGGCGCATCGCCGCGCGGAGAGGGCTCCTGGGCACAGGGCACAGGGGATCTCTCCGTGCGACGTGCTCCGTGAGCTTGCCGACCGACTGTCATAGTCGAACACACGTCTTCCAGTCGGAAACGATCAGACACATCGAGTGTGACCGTCTCTTGAGTTGTAAAAATAAATTCGTCTGACGAAGCGGAAGGAAATGATTAGAGTTGTTTTTTTTATTGAGTTGTTTGGTATTTATTGCTAAAAATGGAATCATTTGGCAATTCTTTTCCTGTGTCGAGCCTGTGTGCTGTGAGAGAGAGTTGTTTTGTTTAAATTCTTTTCGTGCAAAAAATCTCGAGCTTCTGTGCTGCTGACGGTTCTTCTTTTCCAGTGCGCGCCAGTCGTGTGCCCAGTGTGTGCAGGCAGCGCATTCGAAAATTCTTGCCCAAAGAATAAATAAATAAATAAAACGGGCACGCCAAACGAGGGGTGGGAGAAGGACAGGGTCCCCACCTGCACGAGCAGGATCTTGTAAGGACGATCAGGGACACAGGGGAACGGGAGCGGGCCCAAAGAAGAGTTTCAGTGTCGAGCGAAAGTAATTCTTCTTTCCCGAAACTCCAACCCAGCCTCCAGCACCCGCGAAAAGCCACAAGACGCCAAGTCCGATGAGCTGGCGCCTCTCTGTCGACGACTCGACCGAGCCCGGCGACGCGCCTGGCGGCGGTGGGTGGGCGGCCGCCTCGCCCTTTGGCGGCGGGCTCGCGTCGCTGCGTTCAATGACACGCGTTGCTGCAGACGCCGGCAAGGCGGCTGCTCAGCGCGGGCGGGCCGCTCTCAACGAGGACGGCTTGCGCGGTGTGGCGGCCAAGGTGGCCCAGAAGACCACGGCGGTGGCGCGCGAGGGCCTCCAGACGGCGCTCGAGCGCGCGGCTGAGGCTGTGATCGACTATGAGGGCGAGGAGGGCGAGGAGGAGGGCGAGGGCGGCTACGATGGAGACGGCCTTGGTGCCGTCGGCCTTGCCGGAGGTGGCGTCGGCCTTGCTGGGCGCGGCGTCGGCTCCGGCGGCACCGCGGCCGAGCTCGAGGCGCTGCAGGCACGGGTCCGGGAGCTCGAGCAGGCCAACGCCGCACTCTGCGCCGGGCGGACCGTCAGCCCGGCGCGGCCAGACGAGTGCGGAGCGGCATCTCCGCCGCGAGTCCTCCCCGAACCGCCTCGCCTTTCCACACCCGTAGGCCGACCCCCCTCATGACGAGGGAGTGCCGCAGCCGCCTCACACGCCGGCGCGCGCGGTGGCAGACGGCGGCGGCGGCGGCGGCGGCGGCGGTGAGGAGGACGGCACTGTGTTGCCCGACACGCCGTGGAGCGCGATCTCGGAGGGCGAGATGGATGCTCGCGTCGAGGCTCTGATGAGGGAGCGGGAGGCGTTGCAGTCGGCGGCGCGGGAGGTGGCGGCGGCGCGGGAGGGCCTGCATGCGCTGGGGCAGGACGATCCACTCAGGGGTGTGGGCGGATGGTTAGGCGGCGGCGGCTCTGGAGAGGCGGTACGCGGAGCAGCTGGAGGCGGCGGGCGCACGAGAGGTGGGGGAGATAGGATCACTCGAGATGAGCCGAGATGAGCCGAGATGAGCCGAAATGAGCCGAGATGAGCCGAGATGAGCCGAGATCAGCCGAGATCAGCCGAGATCGCCCATCAGGCGGAGCTGTCCGAGAGGCTTCGCGGCGCGACGGAGGCGCGAGCGGGGCTGGAGGAGCGGCTCAGGGCGACGGGGCGGAGGGCAGAGACGCTGGAGCAGGCGGCGCTGCAGCACGAGGCGGAGGCCGCGGAGGCGGCGGCGGCGCGTGGCCGCGCAGAGGCTGAGCTAGCGGCCAAGGCGGAGGAGGTGGCGGCGCTGCAGGGCGCTCAGAGGAACGGGCAGCCCAACGGCCACTCGCAGGCGCCCTCTTCCGACTCTGGCCCTGCCCCCAACCCTGTCTCCAACCCTACCCCCATCCCCACCTACCCCGACCCCTGTAGGCATCGGCGGCAGAGGCGGCGGCGAGGGAGGCCGCGGAGGAGGCGGTGGAGGAGGCGGCGGCGGCGGCGGCGGGCAAGGCAGCAGCCGAGGAGGCGAGGGCGGAGGCGGCGGCGGCGAGGGCCGAGGCGGAGGCGAAGGCGGCGGAGCTGGCGGCGGCGCTCGAGGCGGATCGCGCGCGGTTTGCGGCGAGAGTGCGTCCGAGATGTGCCGAGGTGTGAGCGTAGGGTCGGTGGGAGCTGTAGGCGGCGCGCGCGCGGGTGTCTGCACTCGAGCAGGAGGTGGGCGACGAGAGGAGAGGAGGGGAGGGGAGGAGAGCAGAAGCGAGGAGGAGAGGAGAAGGGAGGACGGGAGAGGAGAGGGGAAGAGGAGGCGGGGGGCCACAGGGCGGGAGGTGTGGCGGCTGTGGCGAACTCGGGAGCGAGCAACACTGCCCCCCTCTCTTTGCGAGCAGGTGGGGCGGATTGGTTCGCGCGTGGCGAGTGGATTGGGTGGGTGGGTGGCGAGAGTGGACTCGGTTGGTTCGGTTGAGCCGGAGGCGAGTGGATTAGGTGAGCGACGTGTCGGAGGCGTGGCAGGCGGACACCGACGGCTGGCGCGCGGAGCGGGAGGAGGCGGCGGCGAAGGCGGCGGAGGCGGCGGAGGTGGCGGCGGCGGCGAGGGCGGCGGCGGTGGCAGAGGGAAGGGAGGGTGCCGAAGGGGGCGACGGTGGCGGCGGGGGTGGAGAGGTAGGGGGTGGCGACGCCGCGGCGGCGCTGGCGGAGCGCGAGGCGCTCATCGACGAGCTGCGCGGGCGGGAGGAGGAGGCGAGGCGCAGGGAGTCGGAGGCGAAGCGGCGTGCCCTCGACAAGATTGGGGTGAGTTCGGCCCGGCTGAGTAGGAGAGGCCGCGAGGAGGAGAGGCCGCGAGGAGGAGGAGAGGCACTAGCGCACGCTTGGACGGTACACATTTCCTCAACCTGTCCTGGAAATGTCCTGGAAATGTCCAGGTTGGAGGTGCACCCCGCTCTTGCGCTGACATGCCGGCTCCTGGTTCTCAGGCGCTCGGCGAGGAGTCGGCTGTGCTGCGCGAGGAAGTGGCTCGCGTAGATGCGAGATAGAGACCCGCGTCTCCCGGCGGGCACTCGAGAGGACGCGTGTCTTCGGCTGTGCTCCGCCGTGTGTAGCGGAGCTCGTGGTACTCGTGGCCCCTTGGAATGAGCTTCTGCTCGGAGTGCGCTGCTCGGTGCCATCCTCCCGCCCGGACTCTCTGGTGCGCTTGGGTGTACTCGCAGGCGGCTGAGTTGCGAAGGCGCCTGCAGGAGGCGGAGGCGGTCGCCGCGGAGCGAGGCGAGGTGGTCGCAGCGCTCGAGGGGCGTCTGGAGGCGCCCGCCGGCAGAGGGGCCATGAGCCGGCCCTCATCACAGCGCTCCCGTCACCTCGCCGTCTTGTGGGTCGCTGAGTAGGCGTCCGATGCGGCGTCCTCTCCGGAGGTGGCGGCGCTGGAGGCGGAGCGGGCAGCGGCGGCGGAGGCGGCGAGGCAGGCGGAGGAGGCGGCGAGGCAGGCGGAGAAGGCGCTGGCGGCGGAGCGGGCGGAGGCGAAGGCGCGAAATTCTGCCCTCGACGCGCAGCTGGCGGCAGCAGCAGCGCACGCGGCGGCGGCCGAGGCGGCGGCGGCCGCGAGGTCTGAGCGGCAGGACGAGGCTGCGGCGGTGGCGGAGGAGGCGCGGGTGGCCCTCGAGGAGAGGGTGGCGGCGTTGCAGGAGGCGCTGGCGGCCGAGAAGGGGCGGGCAGAGGAGGCGGCGAGCAGGGCAGTTTCCGAGGCGACCCGTTCCGCCGAGGCGTCCGAGGCGAGATGCGCCGAGATCAGCCCGGAGTAGCCGAGATGCGCGGAGGGTAGCGAGACTAGCCGAGATGCGCCGAGAGTAGCGAGACTAGTCCGCCGCCCGCTTCGCTTGCCGCAGGCGGTCGACGCGTTTGCCGCGGAGCTCGACTCGGCGGTGGCGAGGGCGGAGGCGGCCGAGGCGAAGGCGGACGAGGCGGAGGCGGCGGCGCTGGCGGCGAAGGAGGAGGCGGCGGCGGCGGCGGCGGCGCGGCAGGCTGAGGCGGATCGGGCGGCGGAGGCGGAGGCGCGGGCGGCGGCGGCGGCGACGGCCGGGACGGAGGCGGAGGCGGGACGTGCCAGGGCGGCGCAGCTGGAGGCGGAGGGCGAGGGAGTGCGCGCCGAGCTAGCCGCGGCGCGGGTGGAGCTCGAGGCGGCGGCGGCGGGGCGGGCGAGAGCGGAGGAGGAGAGGGAGGCTAGATGCGGATGTCTGCTCCCCTCCCTCTTGCCACCACCCCCTTTGGCCACCGCCCGAGAAGCTCTTGTTCCGCAGCTCTTGTTCCGCACGCGACCGGACCCCATCGCACTCGCGTTGCGACCATCGCTGTCATGGCCCTTCGGTGGTTGTCCCGTGCACGCGCCGCCCATCTCACGCCGCCCACCCACAGGAGCCCGCCTCACGCCCCGCCTTACGCCGTGCGTACACACCGCAGGAGCGTGAGGCGTTGCGCGCTCAGCTGTCCGCGGGGGTGAGCGCGGCGACCGACCAGCTGCAGGCACACCTCTCCTCGCACTCGCGCGCCGATCCTTGCACTCGAAATGCCGTGGGGCTCCTGTCCTTGGGCGTGGAGATGCGAGGGCTGCCTGGCGCTTGCCCCGCCACCTCGTGATGCGTCCACCCGCCCTTCCCTTGCCGTGCCTTCCGCTGACTGTCTGCAGTGACCTTCTGCAGGCGGCGACACGCGACGCGGCCGCGCGGCTACTCGCGACAGAGGAACGAGAGCGGCGCCTCAAGGCGGAGCTGGAGGCGCGGGAGGCGGAGGCGGCGGAGCAGGCAGAGGCGGCGGGTGCGCGGGAGGAGCGACTCGCCGCCACGAGCGCGGGGCGCGACGCGGCGGAGGCACACGCACACACGCACACTCGCCGCCTTCTCGCCACCACCCACCTTCGCGCATCGGGACAGCCACTCTCAATGCCGTGCGACCTTCCCTCCCCCCCTTAGGCGGCACTAGCCAAGCTCAAGGGGGAGCATGGCGGGCTGCGGCGGCTGCTCCTCGAGGCCGAGGACGGCGCGAGCCGGCGGGAGCAGGCCCGGAAGAGGGCTGCCGACGACCGACCTGGGAGGTCGAGCTCAGACGTGAGTCCCCGAGATTGTCCGAGACTAGGTCCTGAAGAAGGAGGCCGACGAGCTGCGAGGTCGAGCTGCGGCTTGCGAGGTCGGCTTCCGAGCCTTCGTCTTCTGCACTCGCAGTTTTGTTCTTGTAGGCGAGCTGCGCGCTGCGAGGGATGCGACGAGCGCGCAGGTCGGAGCCGCGAGACACATTTCGGCCTCACTTCGGCCACATCTCGGCCACATCACGGCTACATCTCTCTCGGCCACATCTCGGCCACATCTCGGCCACATCTCGGCCGCACTTCGGCCGCACTTCGGCCGCACTTCGGCCGCACCTCGGCCGCACCTCGGCCGCACCTCGGCCGCACCTCGGCCGCACCTCGGCCGCACCTCGGCCGCACCTCGGCCGCACTACGCAAGGTGGGGAGTGCGAGCGAGGCTGCGGCCCGAGCAGCGGACGCTGAGGCGACGCTCGCCGCGGGCAGTGGCGCAGCTGTGGGCGGCGTGTCTTCACGTCCGCCTGTGAACAGGCTGCGCTCTCCGCCGCAGAGGCGCAGCTGGCCGAGCAGCGCGCGGCACTCGCCAACCTCAACGCGCTGCTCGAGGGAGAGATGATGGCGCCCGACGGCGGCGGCGAGCGGGGGGGCGAGGCGGAGGAGCTGAGGGTTGGTGGGCGGCTCCTCTCACAGGCCCGAGATTGCCCGAGATTGCCCTTGCCCGAGATGAAGGGTTGGCGGGCGGCTCACCTCACTACTGCGAGAGCTCTCGAGGGGAGAGGGGAGAGGGGAGAGGGGAGGGAGGAGGAAGAGGGGGGGGGGGGGGGGGGGGTCGGCGGAGGACGCCATGCTACGCCGCGTAGGAGCTCGCTGCTCTCGAAGAGAGCGCGGGCGCCGCCGCCGTCGAGCTGGCCACGGCGCGCGAGGCGCTGGGGGAGGTGCCTCTGCTGCGCGCTGCGCTCGCGAGTGCAGTGCTTGAGCGCGATGTGCTGCAGCAGCGGTCGGCAGCGGCGTCGGCGACGCGCCAGAGCGACGGCGCGGCGGCCGGCGAGGCGGGCGAGGCCGGCGAGCGCGAGGCGCGTGTCCGGCGGTAACTCTCGGCGACTCTCGGCGACTCTCGGCGGGTGAGTGGGTAGGCGAGGCGGAGCGCGTGCTGATGGCGCAGCTGCTCGTGCGGATGGTGTCGCAGGGCGGCTCTGGCGGCGAGCTGGGCGTGCTCGCCTCAATGCTGGGCTGCTCGCCAGAGCAGCGCGAGGAGCTCGGCCTCGTGCGCGGCGCGGCGCCGCGCGCGTCGGAGGTGGGCGACGCGTGGGTCCGTTTCCTCGAGATTGAGAGCTCGCGGTGAGCTGAGGGGGCGGCGAACCCCTGGGGCGCTACACTAAAAGCACGCGCAGTGGCCAGTGCATGGAGCAGGGCTCAACAGACAACACCTCAAAGAATGCGTCGCGGTGACCGGTGTGGCGAGAGCGTCTCTCTGTAGTAATTGCCGTTATTTCCCCACGGGCGCACACGGGGCACAAACAAAAAGTGGCACACGCTTCACTGACCCGCCCCCCCTCCCCCCCCGCAAGCCGAAGCTCTCACACACACTTCCGCCCGCCGCGGCCAGCAACTTCTGGAACGTGGAAGGTCTCGCCGGGCTTCTGCGACCCCAGCGCCGTGCAAGTATTTAGTGTGCGGGAACAGGTACGTCACCCTGAAGCGTGAAGGCACCGCAGTTCGTGCGAGATGCTGCTGGGGTCCACGACGCAAGGGCGGGCATCGCGGTAGCCGGCCGAGAAGTGAGGCATGGTCTGGTTGGCATGGACAGACTTCAGATCCACGAGCTCGAAGCGCCGCGCGCCGAACGAACGCTGTCTGTGGACTGGTGTGGTGGACGAACTGTAACGTCTCGAAGCCCTCGGCTCGCGCCCCTCTGAAACGTCTCATGGCTAGTGTGGGCACAGAGGCCATCCCATTTTGTCGCCCGTGTACAGTGTCGGGCTGGGCTCCCGTGGGCCGAGAAGCGGACAATCGCCTCGTAGTGTTCTCCAAAGACAATGGTGTCGAGCGCCCGTGTAGTAGACACCACTGCCAGCCGCGGGATACATCCAGATCCCCCCGCCATAATGTTCATCGTGTAGGGCGTGGTAGACTTCGATGCGTTCGCCTGCAAACGCGGGCTTTGTATCGCGGCAGAACCGACATACGTGGCGACCGACCCAAAAAGTCCTGCCGCGATACGTTTGGCAGCTCAGCAGAGAGCCCCCATACACAGTGGCTGTATTGACCCCAATCTTGTGGCCACATCCCACGCTTGCTGGCCGCAACGGCAGCGGCAGCGTTGGACAGCGAATACGGCACAAAGGTCAAAGCAATCGTGGAGCGAGTTGGGCCCGGCTCACGCCGACCAGTGCCCTGGCCCCAAGCCCGGTCAAGAAAGGCATGCAGCTGATTGCGAGGAGTTGCCGCTGCTAAGCTCCTCATGGTTGCAAGATGCGACCTGCGCCCTTCTCACTCACCTGGACCTGCAACGCACGCAGTTCGTCACCGCCGGATGTCGAGCTCTACAGCTCTACAGCGCTCTACAGCTCTACAGCGCTCTACAGCTCTACCTACAGCTCTACAGCGCTCTACACTCTATCTATCTACATCCTCTACACGTCAAGTTGTGGAAAGAAGAATTCTACGGCTTGAAAGAATTTTACAAACGAACTGGCCCTGCGACCGCACCCCCAGGGCTAGGGCTCTCTTAGGGTGCCCACAGAACCCAAAAAGAAAATAGCTTTCCGACGAAAAGGGACGCACGAGGCAAATCTGATGTTCGCGATCGCTCATGGTACATGGATGCGAAAAAAAGTCGTCCCACGACCAAGTGCACCAGGGCCGATCTCGTGCACTGGCGGCAATGACAGGCAGCGCAAACCTGCGGCACGCTTCTCATACGAGATGCAAGACGGCCGCCGCCGGCGTACGCACGCACGCACATATAGCTGATGAGTGAGTGCATGCAGGCATCAACTGCCGCATGCTCTAGGCCGCATGCAACCGAGGTCACAACAACTGACTGGTGCCGCTCCCAGTGGGAAGGGCTGCGAAGTCCTCCGACGGCTCGAAGAGCGCGAGGAGAGACGATGAGGGAGGGGTCCCGTGTGATGCAGAGTCGACCCTGAGTTAGAAGGATGAAGGTGGAGACAATGCGAAATCCAGCTGTTACTATGGTGTCACGGCCACCCCATACACAATGAGTTAATGACCCATAAGCTATATCGCCCGCGGGAAAGAGAATTTTCGGGATCGAGAAAAGAGCCACCCCGCAAGAGCGGGAGCGGGAGTTCTGTCACTAGAGGAAACCCAAGCGCGGAGCTCCCTCGGAGGACGTTAAATAACAATGACACAAACGTCTTCGCATGAGTCGACGCATGGCCCACGTCGGGGAGACTCTCACGGCCGACGTCAGGAACGCGCGTCCGGGCCTACCCGCGGCCTCTCCGCTCTCGGCGTCGGGGCCGGTTGCGATGGGGACGCACAAACCCACTCGGTCACTCGCTACGACGTCGGATGGGACATACTACCTACAACACACGACATCGCCGTTGCAGGTAGTATGTCCATGTCCGTCTGTCCCTACGAGATCGCGTACAACGCGGTCACATTCGTAACGTACGCCAGCTTTGGCTCGGCACTCTTGAGCACATGCGGGCACAGGACGCGATGACCGACGCGCACCTCCAGGCTCCGGATCTCGCTGAGGAAGCCGCGGAGTGCCACGGAGAAGAGAGCCTTGTCGATGGCCGTGAGGCGGTCCATCTTGACGGCGAGCTCCGGATAAACGTGAACGTCTGTCGATGACACCGAGCCGTGCGTGACGGGCTCGGTATTACCAAGGACCGGCTTTGCGTCCTCGCTGCACCGGCAGGATTCTGAGAAGCGCACGGCTGCAGCTTCGGTCTTGAGGCGGCTCAGGAGGAGGCACAGCGACTCGTCATAAAAGTCGGTGATGCCCACCCACTCCGTCTCGAGGTACAACGTCAGCGCCTTGTCGATACTTGGCTCGAAAGTATCTGGGGCTCTAATGCCGTGTGGGGATTTGCTCGAGCTCGTCATGGCTCTCGCCTGGTAGTTCCACGGCTGGTAGCAGCCCATCCACTTCTTGTTGAGCGGGTGCAGGTACCAATTGACCCACTGCTCAAAATCGTGCTGGTGCGTGCCGTTGTGTGGCACCTTGCTGCTGTGGCGCGTCCACAAACTGATGCCCCACTTGTTGTATCGGCACTCCTTGAACATGGAGAGCACGTGCACACGAGGCGAGCGCAAGAGCACCAGGCGTTGGGCCATCGGCCTGAGGTCACGGTCAAAGAGGTACCCGTGTTCTTGCCCGGCAATAGAATTCGGGTATAAGCTTGGAAAGAGGTGCGAGTCCCTTGCCCACGTGATGAAGGTGGAACCACCGGCTTTTGAAATGTGGAGGAAGCTAAATTGCCGCGTGGCATTGAAGACCCGGTTTCGGTCCTTGACGCCATCCCTTAGCCACACGCCACCCAGCAGCGGGAGCTCATGCATGCTCTGAACGGATTTGCTGACTTGTCTGGCTTCAGCGGCGGCGCTGGTGGCGACATCGAATGCAGGTTGGCGATGGCGGGGAGGCTTGGGCGTGGCGGAGGTGGCGATGGGGACACATTTGGCCAGATGGGCGGCGTCGATGGTGGCGACGCGGCAGGCGGGGTCAGTTGGGACGCTGGTGGGCCTCGCGCAGCGCCGAGCGAGGCAGTCGCCGCGCTGAGCAGCAACGCGTTGACGACGAGCGAGATGATTAGCCACACCGGCCCACTTATCGAATTTGTGCAGGCGAGAGTACTCGTCCGAATTCCGGCGTTTTTCATATTTCTCACCCTACTATACTAGTAGTACACCTCCTTACGGCTTTACAGAGTTTGGTCTGGATCTTTTTACTAAATTCGGTACCTTACCTCGCGGTAGTTGCGGTACTGTGGCGGGGTGGTCGTGGTGAAAGAGGGTATGAGGGGGAGTGAGGAGAACGACACGCACGTGGGAGTGGGTGGAGAGTAGCTAGGGTGGGCAGGCGAGGGTGGGAAGGGAGCCGCCGAAAATTGCTCAAAGGACACCCCATTCAAAAGCTTGGTCGGCTGCTAGATTCACGGCATACTTGTACAGAGCAATCGAAAAGTAGTTGCGAGCTTTGGCCACTTCGTAGATCGTCTCGTCCTCGAGTCCAAAGAAACGCGTGCCTGGCTTCCTGCATCGCTCGTCGGCTTTCGATCTTGTGTATTTTGGGGGAAGTGGTATTGAGACGTCCAAGCCGAGCCGGGCCAAGCTGCCCTTGGTCGCGTCCAGCTGCTCCAATATCACGATGGCTGACAGTGCGTGGAGCCTTTGTTGAGCAATGCGCAGGCCTTCAGCAGACACCAGGCCACCACCATAATCTGCGGTGAAGTACCTCAGAGGCAATTCGTGCCCGGACCCAGAGGTGTTGACGTACGTGGCCAGGGATGGGAAGGGCGCACCGTGCGCGCTCTGGCGCTGGCACGAGTATGACCAGCCGCTTACGAGCCGCGAGATGGGGTGGCGAAACGCAGTCGCGTACACCAGAGGCAGCCCGAGTAGGATAGGGCCACGGAGGCCCTCGAATTCATTCGCGAAGAAGTTGGTGTGGCAGAGCGGCCCAGTGAGGGCGCGCGTCTGCCCTTCCAAGCTGCGGGCCCCAAACTGCGGCTCGGCGAGATGAGGGTTGCAGTTTCCTGCGCCAGGAGCCAGCACCACATCGTCAATTGCGATCTGTGCCATGCTGCAGAACGTCGTGCCGGCGGATTTGTGGACGTGCAGCCAGACCATCCAGTGCGGCCATGACCGCGATCTCGAAGCGAGGAACAAGGCCTCGCTGCGGCGGCGCAGCTGAATCACTGTCGAGTTGTCAAGGCTTGCTTGCCAAGGGGTGGGTGTGAGATTATGGAGGCTGCACGGTTCCGAGGGCGAGAGCGGCGGCGGCGCGCGACGGAGAGTCAGGGCGTGCTGGGAGCCATGTTGCGCTCCAGTTCTATTGCTCACCGGGATCGCGACCGCGTCGGGCACGGACACCGCGTCGAGGAGCTCTGAGACGCCGGCAGAGCCATAGGAAGACAGAGCAACGGCCGAACAGCCCAGACCGATCACCACGGAGAAGAAGACGCACAGCAGCTTTGTCGAGCAGAACTTGCCGAAGCGGAAGCCGGAGCGCGTCGAGGTCGGCTCCGTCTCCTGCACGGCGCCCTGTGAACAGTGCGGACGAGGGTCAGTCACGAGCAGAGCGCGCTGCACGGGCAAGGCAGTACGCGCCGAAGGCGTCGACGACGACGGCGGGGCGTCGCCGACAGACGCGTCGCCGGAGCCGACGCCAGCGAGGTCTTCCTTGTCGGCGTTCGTTCCGAGCAGAGCCGCGAACCCGTTGGGGTCGACGCGGCCGAACGGGGTGAGGTTCTTGGTGGTATTGGAGCGGTCGACCAGGCTGGACTCGCCCTTGCGCTCGATCTTGCGGAACGGGGAGGGGGTCTTCCACTCGTCGATGCCCTGCGCGCGCGTGACGTGCGGCAGACGAGAGGTCACAGGGTCAATGTAAGTGCCCGCCTGTGGGACTCGCGTGTCCCCACAATACCCGCGTGTGCACAGAAGGTTGCTGGGAGGTGCTCACCGCCGGGGCGGGCTCCTCCTCTGGAAACTCCTTGGTCGAGACGCTCCAGTCGGCGTCGCCCTACGCATCGAACGCGGGACGGGGTCAGGGAGTGGGCCGGCAGACGCCGTCGTGCAGAATGCCAGGCGCTCGCCGCCGGGGCGGGCTCCTCCTCCGGAAAGTCCTTGATCGACGGCACCGGCGCGCCGCCGGCCGCCGCCGGCTTGAGGGCCATGGCGACCTTGGTGACTGGCTTGAGCGCCGGGTTCTTGATGGCGCCGGTCTCGTCAACGCAGGCCTCCGCGCCAGACTCTGCCGCAGGGATGTCCTTCTTGAGGGCGCCGTCGGCGCCGGTGGGGGCCGTCGGTGGGCCGGTCGGGCGCGTAAACTTGGACCAGAAAACGGCGGGCGAGCTCGGCGCGTGGGCGGCGAACATGGCCTTGGCCTTGTCCGAGTCGACCGCGCCCGCGTCAGGCGCCTTTTCCGCGGCCAGGTCCTTCTTGAGGACGCCCTCCGGGCCAGACTTTGCCACGGAGATGTCCTTGACGTTTGCGCACGCCTAAGAGAGTACGCGCAGGCTTTCGGAGACGGGAGAGGGATGATCACAATCTTGGCGTGCGCACGCGCACCTTGGCTCCGAGGAGCGACGGCGACACCGACGCGGAGATGACGAGCGTGATGCGGCCGTCGTCAGCCGGCACGATTCCGACCTTCGCGAAGGACTTCATCGGCGACAACTCGCCCGCGACGTTGCCGCCGCCCGCGTCAACGCCGTCCTTGAGCGGGCCGGGCTCGCCCTCGGACGGGACGTTGCCGGTGCCGGTGCTGGCGGTGCCGGTGCCGCCGGTGCCGGTGTCGATGCCATCCTTGAGCGAGGTGGGCTCGGAGGGGATGCCGACGGCGTTGCCTCCGCCAGAGTCGATGACGGTCGTGTTGTCCGCCAGAGACGCCTGTCAGCCACAGAACGCGAGAGGGTAGTCTTGCAGGGAAGGCGCAGCGTTGCGTGCGTTGCAGCGGCGCGCGCGTGCATACCCCTCACCCAGCCACTGCAAATTAACGCACACCTGCTTGTCAGCAAGCGGCGGCGGAGGAGAGAGCTTGAGCACGAGCTTGTCACCGGCGGCCGGCGCGAACTCGAGTTTGAGCATGTTGATCGAATGAATTCCTGCAGAGAGGCAAGAAGCGGTTGAAGGTGGGGCCGCCGGCACGCTCGCTCGCGTCCTCGGCGCTCGGACTGGAGCCGGGCGGCGATTGGCGAGCAAGCGAGAGCGGGTCGCTCTCTTGCCAGAAGAGAGGGAGGGCGGTCGCGCGGGACAAGGGTGGGGAATGGGCAGCAGCGGACGCGTCTCGCGCCCTCCTCAATGGCAGCGGCTGTACCTGCGAGCGGGAGTAGGCAGGCGGTGCGAGGCCGAGGGGGGAACAGACGCTCGCGCCGCGAGCAGAGGCGCATCGCGTGGTGGGGAGGTGAGGGGCGGCGGGTTCCGTGAGCGATAGGCGTCGCGGGGGTCTAGGCGTGCAGCTCGCGGCGGCATAGTCGGGCGCAATGCGGCGCGGCAAGCGCGAGAAAACGCGGAAAGTGCTGGCCGCCTTGCGACTCGCTCTCCGCGTAGAGCGTTGACGCAGAGAAGGGCTCCATCTTCGAGTCACCGTTCACACCAGTGGCAGCCGCACAGCTGTGACAGCGATGGGCTCGCCCTCACTGGCCCTCAGTCACTTGAGTGCTGCGGCTTGTGTGAGCGACACTGCTCGGCGACTGCCGGGGCACACTGTGAGACCGTGGGTGTGAGGTAAAAGCACGCTACCAGCGAGCGGATGCTATGCCATCGGACTGACCTCGGTCTAAATGATTATGGAAAATCAGCGAGAAGAATTCTTAAATCCGCGAGAAGAAGAAATCTTGTGCGGCCTGGCGCACTTCCTATCACGCCGGCTCCCTGCTTGTTCGTTGTTGGTCTTTAAAAATCTCCCAGCTTTCCGATCCCTCCAAACCCTAGGTGTTGAATACCTCGCGGAGCGAAGAAAAATTCAGTATTATACGTATTCAAGGCCAGAAATCTTGAATTCATGAATACGCCCCCTTGAGGCCCTTGCCCTTGTATTCAAGAAAAAAGAATTTTCGCGCTCAAGATCAGGTGGCCGCAAGGGGGGCCGAGGCAGGGGGAGAAGGAGGAAGCACCGGCTTCCATGCTTCCAACCTTCCATCAATGCTGACCACGACCATCCCAGAGGGCGCCCCTGCGGCCCAGCCGCCGCCGCAGCAGCAGCTTGGACTGCAGCAGGCCGGGCCAGCCCGCGTCGGAGGCAATGGCGGCGTCCGCAAGGTTGCGACAAAGCAAAGGCGCTGCCTGCGCTCGCGCATGCGCCACGCCGTCTCCGACCGCCTCGTGTATTGCCACGAGGCGCTCCAGCTCCGCATCAAGCGCACCAAGGCGGGTGGCGGGCTGGTGGCGGGCTAAAGGAGCCGGGGCGGTCAAGTGGGAGAGCGACTCGGACTCGGACGAGAACAACTCGGACAACGAGGAGGACCTGATGGTCTAGTGGCCGCCCTCTGCCCGCGCTCCGCGCGCGCTGGCGCGCTCCGAGCGCGCGCCGCGCGCGCCGCGCGCTTCCGCGCCTGCATTTGCACTGCATAACTAGTTAGCGGCGCTCCGCGCCGCATGTATTCCGTACGTTCCGGCGCGCTGCGCGCCTTTTGAATACAGTATTGCTCCTGGGAGACCTCTCTGTGAATAGTTAGAGGCTGCGCAGGCCGTCCCGTTTGCATGTTTGCATAAAAAACGCCCCGCGCGCTGCGCGCGCGCGCCAGGCCCGGGGCTCTCCCCGCAAACCCGTAACCCCCCCCACAATATATGTCCTCTCACACTCACACGTCACACGTGCCGCAATATGTGTCACACACGGCGGCTTCTGCCACCTCTCGATCGGTTTCACTTTCTACGCACACCTACCGGGGAAGGGGCGCTTGGGAGCGGGAGCGGGGGCGGGGGCGGGGGCGGGGGCGGGGGCGGGGGCGTGGGCGGGTGCGCGCAGCGCGCGGCGCGCGTGTGCGGGCAACAGAGGGTAGGGGTGGGGAAGACGGCGAGGAGGGGGCGGCGGCGGCGGCGGCGGCAGCGCGCGCGCGGCGCGCGCGACGGAGGGGCGGAGCAGCGACCGCTGGCGCGGTCGCTGCTCCGTCTGTGCCAGGGACGCGCGCTCTGCGCCGCTGCACAGAGCGCGCGTCCGGCAAGGGGGGGCAAGCGTGGCGGCGCGGGACGCGCGGCGGCGGCGGCGAGCAGCCGAGCGCTCCGTGCGCGGTGAGGCGGCCGGGCGAGGGCGGCGGGTGACGGGGCAAGGGATCAGCCCACACCCGTCCGTCGCTTTTTGAGTGAAGCGCGAGCGCGTAAGAATTTTACCGCGTTCTGACTGTGGATAGGCCAACGTTGGTTTGTCTTTTTCTTTCTTTCTTTCTAGGCTGATGGCCGCTTCTGTTGCTGGTATTCAAATCGCATCTTAAAGAAACACGAAGAAAAGAAGCCTGCGTCCGCCATACGCAGGCATATTACAAACAAGCGGCGGAGGGCAAAATAAAAGAAAACTTCGGCCGGGAGGCTCCGGCCACTTTCCGCAACGAGAGTGGACCTGAGCAACGACATGACAGGGCGGGATATGCTCGCAGTGGGAGTCAGAAATGTGGTCCTTGCGCGAGGAATGCTCGATAAACTCGAGGGACCAAAATACGCGGAGAGGAGAGCGGACGGACTCCGCCGGAGTTACGCAGAAAGGCGAGAGAAGCAGCGAGAGCAAGGCAGACGGCAGCGGCGTGTCAGAACGAGGCCGAGGAGAGCGATGAGTCAGGGGAAGAGACAGCAGGAGAGAGAACGACGAGAGTGGGAAGAACGCGAGGACCGAGGCGCGCGCGTGAACAGGGCTCCAGGCCCCAAATTACGTGTGAGTGTTAGAGTTGTTTGGTATTGCTAAAAATCTCTCTCTCCGAGGTGGCATGAAGGTCGCTGCGAGAATTGGTGAGAAACTGCGGAGAGAGATAGGAAGTGGTAGACGCCCGAGGGTGTGGGCGACGGCTAGCACCACACTCCTCTCCTTAAAATCCATGTGTGGTGGCGGCGTGCCGTCCTCCCATCCCTCCCTTGGCTTTCTTTTACTTTCCGCTCGACAACCAATGAGCTCGTGAAAAATGTCGCGGGCGTCGACGGTCTCCACATCGCGCTCGACGCCTTTGGCGAAGCCGCCGAGCGGCGCCTCTTCGAGTCTCAGCGCATCCACGCGCCGCAGGAATCGCACGGACCAAACAGCGATGCGGACGGTCGACGTGCCGGTCGGTGCCACCGCCCGCTGCCCGACGACGTCGACCTGTTTCGTGTATGCAACTTGGTCGGCGACTGCGGCCTCTATCCCGGCTACGTCACGCCCGACTACGTATACGCCATCACCTACCCTCCAAAAGCCGCCTTCAACAAGCACCTGGATTCGAGATACCGGTGGGGAGAGACTGTGGTCGGCGTCACGCTGGGGCAGGCCGGCACAGTCTACTTTGAGCCAAACACACAGGCGATCAAGGCTGCAGGCCCCCCCGCCGCCGCGCCGCCCGACGCCGGCGAGGCTGGCGGGGCCGACGCCTTCCGCGGATCAAGCACTATGACGAATCGGGATCGTTTGCCATCGAGCTGGAGCTGCCCCGCCGCTCCGTGTACGTCATGAGCGGCGAGGCGCGCACGCTGTGGAAGCACGGCATCCGGCAACAAAAGCCTGGCTCCCTGCCACCGCCCCCGCCGTGGAATCCCTACAACATGCGGCGCGCGCTGACGCTTCGCGCGACAAAGGCGTTCAGCGACGCATGCCTGCAGGAGCGGCTGCGGCAGGCGACGGACGAGGCCGAGCGCGCCGCTCTCCGGCGGCGCATCGCCGCGCAGGACAAGTTCCGGCCCCAGAGCAGCGCTGCGAGACTGAACGATCGCGACCTCGCCGAGCTGCGAGAGGAGGGCGAGCGGATGAGGCGGCACGTCGCGACGCAGCGGCACCGGCACGCTCGCTTCCCGCCGTCGGAGCTCCACTTCCCCCTGCCCGAGAGCGTGGCGTGCGGTGTGAGGGCGGCCGCAGACTCATGGCCGCCGAACGGGGGCTTGCGCCTCGGCGGCGCCGCCTCGCCGCTCGGGTCCGTGGCACTCGCCATCGAGGAGGAGGAGCTGCAGGAGGCGATCCGCGCATCGCTCCGTGCTGCAGGAGCGCCCGTCGCAACGGAGCCCGGCTCGAGCGCCGGCGGCGGCGGCGGCGGGGAGGGCGATCCGATAGAGTTGGACACGTCGGATGAGGAAGCGCCTTTGACGGCGGCGGCGGCGGCGGCGGGATCGGCTGCGGCTGAGACGGCTGGAACGCCAGGCCCACCCGCGGCAGCGGCGGCGGCAGCGGCGGCGGCAGGGACCAAGCGCGCGCTCGAGGCAAGACGCGCGGCTGAGGAGGACGGCGACGGGGAGGAGGAGCTTCGCCGCATGCGCGAGGCGCGGCTGGCGCGCCTCGGAGGGGCCTGAGCAGCTGGGCCTGAGGGTCGGCTCAAGCGCCAGCACGTCGACGACACGTCGAGAAGGGGGCGCGGCGTGCGTGGACATGGCATGCTCATGTGCTTGGGCGATGCGAAGCGTGGAATGGCTGAGACGGGGCCTCGGCTCACCGCGGCTACGCTGCATGCAATGCCTGCGGTCTCGGAAGAACTCACCTCGTTCGCCGCCGAAGAGACGCTGTGAAGTGATGCGGTATGCTACTGCAGAGATTACGTTTTTCCTGCACACGGTACTCTGACATCTGACTGGTAATCGAAGTGTGTGTGCTAAACACTTTGACGCATGGCGCCGTCAAGCTTCCGCCGCGAGCATCGGTCCGCACGAGCAAAGTCGTCGTGGCCTGACACGTGAACAAGGGAGTTCCTAAGGAGGCAGTGAGACGCCGCAGGAAGTCGAGCGCCGGAAGGGCTCAGAGCCATGACGATGCTCGCAGTCGTCGTTTTCCTCGTGACCGCACTACCATCCGCCGACCCTCCAACCTCATTCTCATACCCATCGTGTCCTGAGCTGGCAGGCTCCACAGGGCTTGTGCCTTATCGAGCCCGTCAGTGCTCTGGTGCCACCGCCGGCGACGGAGGAGAGTTGAGCGAGGAGGAGACTACCATCGTCGACCGGGCCGAGCGGCGCGCACTCGACTTGTGCGCCTCGCGTCCCACAGGGACGTGCTCTTCCATTCCGGACGTGATCGCGACGCTCCGTAAGAAGACTCGTACGCGCTGCGTCAAATCGCCAGCGATTGTCTTCATCGGCGACTCGGTCACCGTCCAGAGTTGGAATGCGGCACAGTGCTCGTTGCGGCAAGCAGGACTCAAGCGCTGCCCAGATTCAACCTTCCGAAACGAATCAGCGCTCGGCTACGTGATGAAACACCACGGGTGGAACGCGCTCAAAGAGCACCTGCAGCACAGCGCGTTGGTCACGAGCAACGACAGCGCAGACACCGCCATTCGGAAGCTTCTCAAGCAGAGCGGGCAGCAGGCCATCGTCCAATCGTACCAGGATGATGCGCAGTACGTGAAGGAGGCACGTTTCACGAGCAGCACCTCGTGCGCCGCCGACACGGCCAACGTGGTGCGCGTGCTCCTGGTGTGGCGGGCTGGCGGGCGGCGGCGAGGACCTGGGCTGGTCGCGTCGCGCGACGCGCCCAAGGAGGCACGCGCCGTCTTCAAGGATCTGATGCTTAAGAACGTCGGCTCCTGCGCGGTGACCGTGTACAACGAAGGCCTGCATCACCGGAGCGACTTCTCCAACCGCACGATCTTCGCCGATTCGGTACGTCACGTCTTGAGGACGCTCGACCAGCTCGCGCAGCCCAGCGGACCCTTTGCGATGGCCCGCGAGATTTCGACGCAGCACTTTGCGGGCACGACGGACGGCTCGGGCCGCTTCGACCGCCGCGCGCCCGCCGGACAGCACAAGAAAGCGGATCAACAAATTCTTCCCCCCAGCTGCGAGGTGATCCACGGCGGCGCCGCCAACACGGGGGAGTACAATACCATCCTAAAGAGGGAGGTCGCGCTCACAAGGAACGTGCGCTTCGTGCCCTATGCCGCCGCCACGCACGCGTGGGGCGTCGGCAAGAGCGGCGACTGCACGCACTTCTCCTGCTACTCGCCTCTCCAGTACGCGCCGATTTGGGACGGCGTGGTTGATGGCATGCAGGGCTGGTTCGATGAGCGTTGAGCGTCTGGGCTTGCAATTACCTGGCTTAGGCCACATTTAGGTGACTCCAGCCGTAGACGCTCCAAGCCACGGTTCGTCTGACTTATTTTAAAACTCGCGCTAAGTAACCAAAATGCCCCGAGTCACCTTTTCCTGGAACAGATCACGAATCGGCGACTTGAGTCACCAACGTTGCACTGGTCAAAATTCGGGTGACCTATCCCACGCACTCTGACCTGAGTCGTCACCTGTTGACCCGCATCAGTCACCTGTTGACCCAGTGTTGACCCAAGTCTGTCCGCAACGAGAATCGAACGCACAACCTCACGATCACTGTTCAGCACCCCACACATTAGACAAAGCGCGCAGTGAGCACCATGTAGCGCGGGCGCGCATAATATACCTTCGCCCACATGACCCAGCTCACTCCGAGCATGGGACAGGTCACCCACTGACCCAAGTCAGCATTTTCTGTGCCGGTGTCGTAGAATGTGACTCACGCCTCTCAACAAGGACCTAAGTCAGCGGAGGCCCAACTCAAGAAAGTGTGGCTTGGATCGACTCTGAGTGAGCCAACTCACCAAAAAGTGGCCTAGGCCACGTATCCGAAAGTCCAGACGGAGCCCTGGAGTCTGAGAGCACTACCTAGGTAGTATATAACTTTTTAGAATTTTTACTCTCGTGTGTAGGTCAAAAAAGTCACGATGTATATAGTCGGGTGTCCAGCTCAGCGGCCCACACCATCCGCATCCTCGAGGCTCGTCCGCCGCACGCACATCCTTTAACAGGGCGTTTGCGGCGGTCACTGTCTGTCCTACCAGCGGGCACAAAGTGGGCAGCGAACACCCGTGATACAAATAACTTAATAAACGGACACGCCAAACGAGGGGTGGGAGAAGGACTGGAGAAGGACAGGCTCGCAGCTCGGTGGACTCTCCCTTCTACTGGCGATACACCACCCTACTCATGAATAGCTTCCTGGCTCATGTACTTTTCCTTTTTAGCTACCACCGCCACGAGGCAGGGTACTTTCAAGCAGACACGCCTTCTCACAGAGCAGCTTGCGTGCGTGAACAGACCCAGCGCTGGCTTCTGACTGTCGTTGCTGTCTCTCCCTTCTCGACTGTCTGTGCTTGCTTGTGCGTCTTGGGTCCGGGGTTGTGTTTTTGTGTGAACATTCGCCTTCCTGGGACCCAGCGCTGACTTCTGACTGTCGTTGCTGTCTCTCCCCCTTCTCGACTGTCTGTGCTTGTGCGTCTTGGGTCCGGAGTTGTGCGTTTAGTGAACAGACGCGGTCCTTGCATGCGGCGCGCTCGACCCCAAACGCACATGTCTCATCTGGGCGAGGAGCGTCGCTGGCGTGATGAGCAACGGCGCGCCGAGTACGGACGCGAAGGGCGGCGATGGCGGGACGAGTCGCGACGGCGGTCGCGATCGCGCGATGAGCCGCGGCGGGATGAGCTGCGACGGCGCGACGAGCGTTGGCAAGGCGAGCAAGGGCGGCACCATGACGGGCGGCACGACGAGCGGCGCGGCTACAACGACCCTTGGTGCAGTGGTCGCGAGCAGCGACGGCACGCTGAGCCAAAAAGGCCCGCTGAGCGATGCCGCGATGAGCCATTTCGAGGCGGACGACGGCCGCATCATGACGGGCGGCACGACGAGCGGCGCGGCTACAACGACCCTTGGTGCAGTGGTCGCGAGCAGCGATGGCACGCTGAGCCACACGCCGCTGAGCGATGGCGCGACGAGCCATTGCGAGGCGAACGACGGCCGCATCATGACGGGCGGCACGTTGAGCGGCGCGGCTGCAACGACCGACCAAGCATAGGCGAGCGCGAGCGCGACTTGTGCGATCGGCGCGATGATCGGCCCCACGATCCCAGGCGCGACCATGACCGGCGCGACCGCCGCGGCGAGGGGCAGCCTCAGCACAGCGACCGCCGGTGGAGTCCGCCGATGCGTGGTGCGGGATCGCGCGACGAGAGGCACACTGCTGCCGGTGGTCAGCTCAATGCTAAGCAGCTCAGCAGCCACATCTCGCATGCCAGCGGCGCCGACGAGCTGCTCACGCTCTTTGCTGCCCACAGTGCGAGCCTGAACCACATCCACGCTGCGAACCTGTGGAACAAACTGGGCAAGCAGCGCATCGAGCGGCGGCACGAGGGGCGGCTTGAGCAGCTGGTGCAGCGCACGCTCCACCTCGTCTCGTCGTGCGAAGCACGTAACCTGGCGAACATCACCCACGGCGTGGCAAAGTGCCGCCAGCAGGCGAGCGTGGTGCACCCGTTGTTCGTAGCGGTGGCGGAGGCGGCGGTGCGCGGCGGGCTGGCTGGCTTCAACCCTCAGAACCTGGCCAACACGGTGTGGGCGTATGCGACGGCGGGCGTGGCTGCGGACGCGCTGTACGCGGCGGTGGCGGAGGCGGCGGTGCGCGGCGGGCTGGCCAGCTTCAACCCTCAGAACCTGGCCAACACGGTGTGGGCGTATGCGACGGCGGGCGTGGCTGCGGACGCGCTGTACGCGGCGGTGGCGGAGGCGGCGGTGCGCGGCGGGCTGGATCGCTTCAAGCCGCAGGAGCTGGCCAACACGGTGTGGGCGTATGCGACGGCGGGCGTGCCTGCGGACGCGCTGTACGCGGCGGTGGCGGAGGCGGCGGTGCGCGGCGGGCTGGCTGGCTTCAACCCTCAGAACCTGGCCAACACGGTGTGGGCGTATGCGACGGCGGGCCACTACCACCAGGTGCTGCTCGCAGACTGCTCGCGTGTGATCAGCGACTCGCTCGCGCGGGATCCGTCGAGGTGGGGCGTCGTGGACCGCTCTCAGCTGCACCAGTGGCAGCTCTGGCTCTCCCTTGAGCGAGGAGCAGACGGGCAGCAGCACCTTCTCTCCGAGTCCCAGCGCAAGCTCTGCTGCGACGCCATGCAAGATACGCAAGTGACGATCTCTGAGTTCCAACGCTCCGTCGCGGCTGCCCTCGCCGCCGTCCAGCACGGCTTCGAGGAGGAGCATCTCGAGCCGCGCACCGGCTACTCGCTCGACCTATCGCTGCCCTCGTCACGCCTCGCGATCGAGGTGGACGGCCCCTCTCACTTCCTGCTGCCCGACGGCCGGGGCGTGCGCAAACCCAACGGGCCGACGCTGCTCAAGCGGCGCCTCCTCACAGCGGCTGGCTGGAGGGTGATCAGCGTTCCATTCTACGAGTGGAACGGCTTCGCGACTGCCAGTGAGCGGCACACCTACCTGCAGAGGCTGTTGGGCTAGTACTGTGCCGCCACGAGCGCCGCGACCACCTCGCCACGCTCTCGACCGAGAGCCGCCTAAACGCCGCCTCCGCGGCCGCCCCACGCGTACCGAGACCCTCTGGCCTCGACAAGAACAGCTTGATAGCGGGATAGCCGCCTGCGCCGACTTCCTCCTAGCTCGCACTCGGTGTCCCCCACCAAGTGTCGCCGTTCTCGGGGCATGCTATCCTGTGTAAGCAGGGCAGGCGGGGGCGGGGGGCAGTCCCCCTGGTCTGATACTGGGGTGTGGGTGTCTCTAGCGTCGGAGGCAAAGGGAGAAGATAAGATTTTTTGTGGAGTGCCGTGCCACGGATTGCATGCTCCCATGCAGACACTCAGTCGCATCGTACGCCAGAGTCGTAGCATGGGTGTACCGGGTCGCAGCCTCCCCACACACGAGATCTGCGAGACCCGCCCGCCTCGAGTGATAACGAAGATACATGCCGGGAACCGCTCCCGTGCCTAGTCTCGTGCGAGACAGTTTAATGGTAAAATGATCTGTCGGTGCAGCCTGCTGGGGGCATGCAATAGAGCCCTATAGGAGCGCCCACCAGGTGGACACCCCACGCTGCGCACCCGCGAGGACACTGTCATGGTTTTGCACATGCTGTGTGTGGTGATTGGTGTGCGAGCCGCGCTGGACATCAGATAGCTCTTTTTCACGACCTGCAGCCACCCGACGCGGCGCCTGTGTGTTTACGATCCTTCGACTATCCCCACGGCGGCGTGTGAGCACGTCCCGCAGGCTGCGACGCGCCACGGACCACTCTACGTCCCCCGACTTTCTCCAGTATTCAGCAGTATTCAGCAGTATTCAGCAGTATTCAGCAGTATTCGGCAATATACAGCAATATATCCCAGTATTGCGAACTATAAGCCAATAATGGGGCAAGCAAGCTGTGAGTATATTGGGATATACTGCTGTATATTGCAATATATTGCGGAAGGATTGAGGTGCTTGGCGGCGCCGAGATATACTCCAATATATCCCAGTATTCGGCTGGAAGATGTTCCTCCAATATCTCCGTATATTGCGCAATAGTGCGCAATATTGGAGTATATTCCAGGGGTGCAATATACCCCAGTATATCCCAATATATTCACAGCGCCTTGCTATTTGTCAGTATTCTCTCGGCGGCGGCTCACTTCTTGCTCACTCACACGCACGACGTCTCGTCGACCTTCCTCCTTTCTTGTGCTGCTGCATCTCGACCTTCCTTGCATGCCTTTTCGACGCCGATGGACGCTGCGTGCGGCGCTCTACCTGATGCAAGCCTGCGCCAGCCGCGCGCTACCAGTCACAGACCCGAGCAGCCAGCGCAACGCCGACCAACAAAAAACGGAGGGTCGGCGGCTCACACAGTTCTGGCCTGACCACCCGCAGGTCGTGATGGGCGCGGCGCCACGCCCTAAAGATGGCTCGGCGCGCGAGCACCCTCCAGCGCCCGCCATCGTTCGAATGCTTGGTCAGCCAAACCACACGGCGATCGTCCTTCGCACCGCAAAAACCCTTCCGATGGCGCTGATCGACGCCTGCTATGTCCGCGACCCCCTGCCAGCGGGGCACGATATGTGGGTGCTGCACAACACGGATCAGCCCAATATCTCCACAGGCGACCAGCTTGTAGCCAAGGGCGTCAACGCCATGGTGTACACCGGGCAGAACGTCAGGGACGCGTTCGGGCAAGCCTACAACGGATGGCTGCACTACACTCCAGGCCTCGTGTTGCTCCTGCTTTCGGCCCCGGCGTATCAGTACGTTTGGGCGATCGAAGACGACACGCTCTTCACTGGCCGCCTGCCTTCCTTTTTTATTTCGCAAGCGGACCACACCGAGGATTTCATCGGGGCACACAAGCCAACGCACGGCCCGTGGATGTGGGGATACGGCACAGTCGTGCCTCGCGAGGCGGATAAGGTGAAGACGAAGGTGCAGGTCTATCGCCTCTCGGCGCGTCTGTTGCGCACCTTTGACGACATGCTCCAACTCGGCCTGCACACGTACGTCGAGGGCACGGCCTCGATCTGCTACGGCCTGCGGTGGTGCTCGACACGTCAGCTGCCACAAGAGGTTCAAGGCACGCACTTTGAGTGGAACACGAAGCTGACACCGCGGCACCTGTGCGCGCTTGGGGATGACGGTCGCGACAAGTGGCAGCACAAACTTCCGTGGATGCGCCGACCGACGCCGGACGAAGTAGTGGTGCTGCGGAGTGTGTGTGACGCCCAGCCGCCGCCCGAGGAGACGTGCTCGCGCCTGCCCGTGTGCAACAACACGATGATGGGCTCCATGGCGAGGTGCGTCCCCATCAGGACGCCCCGAGCAAAGCAGGTGTCGTAGGTGGCCACCTACTGCTCCTGCTGTCTTGTCCATTTGACTCTAATTTGACTCTCTTTCTGGTCCTAAAGCCGTACCTGCTCTCTTGTGCTGTGTCTGGGAAGACCGTGAATCCAACACGTCCACATGTGAGTGTCCTACGTTTGAGTTTAGGAGCACGTGTCGTGCGTCTTGGGTCGATATGAACAAACCTGTTTATTAGTTTAGGCGCTTTTAGTTCTCCTGACCCTAAACGCTCGGCCATGAGGACGGGTCGTTGAACAGCGTCGAGGCAGCTGTCTCGACACCATCCCGTATCTGCTTTCTCTCCTAGCCCCTTGGCCTTCCGCGCCAAGGCTGTCACGGCGGCCGTCTGTTTGCCCATGTGGTGTTCTTGCTTCTTGTCGAAACAAAGTCCAAAGTTTTTCCGTAGCAGGAGCCTGGGGTTCTCCCCAGGTGCACTTCTGCGCGCCGGGTCAGCCGCGCCTCGGCGCCGCGCCTCAACCCGGGAGCGGGGCTTTACGGCCAGCTCCCGTCCTGGCGCGGCCCGGGGCCCGGCTGACGGAACGGGCCCCTCCGACCCGTCTAGAAACACGGACCAAGGAGTCTGACACGTGTGCGAGTACCCGGGTGGCAAGCCCGCGTGCGGAATGAAAGTGAAGGGCATGCCCTGCCAACCGACCTTGACCTGCTGTGAGGGGTTTTAGTGGAGCACACCTGTCGGGACCCGAAAGATGGTGAACTATGCCTGGGTAGGGTGAAGCCAGAGGAAACTCTGGTGGAGGCTCGTAGCGATACTGACGTGCAAATCGTTCGTCGAATCTGGGTATAGGGGCGAAAGACTAATCGAACCATCTAGTAGCTGGTTCCCTCCGAAGTTTCCCTCAGGATAGCTTGAACGCAACGGTTTTGTCAGGTAAAGCGAGAATGATTAGAGGCCTGTGGGCTGAAACAGCTTGCACCTATTCTCAAACTTTAAATGGGCAAGAGGCCCGGGATGCTTGAGTGATCCCGGGCGGCGAACGGCGCGTTCAAAGTGGGCCATTTTTGGTAAGCAGAACTGGCGATGCGGGATGAACCGAACGCCGCGCTAAGGTACCCAAGTGTCCGCTCATCAGATACCACTCATCATTGTCCCTAACTCGACTCGCACAGCAAAAAAATCCGGTGCTCGCGCGCCGCTCCCACGCTTGACCACACACTCGCTGCACTGCTCAAAGCCAACCCTACCTCACTGGCCGCCTCCAACACTGTCCCGCGCGTCTCGCGCCCCAACTGACAACTCATCACTGTCCCTCGGACACCACTCTCCAGCCGCGCTACCTTCCCCCACCTACCGCTCTCGCACAACATCTCGACAATCCTCATATCTCCAGGCCCAAGACTCCTAACCACTGCCCCTGCTCGCCCAGGACCACGAAGCGCCGCCCGCGCGCCCATTGACCCCCCAATCAGCCCTCTTGCTGTCCCTCAATCGCCACCCGCCAGATGTACTGCCCTCGCCCACCCAATACTCTCACCCTCCTAACCCGGACAGTCCAGGTACAGGAAAAGCGGGGAGCGGGGCCCGATCCAAGGAGCACCCCGTCGGCCCGGGAGGGCTGTGAATTTCGGCGCGAGCGGAAGGCTGCCTGCAGACGCTCAGCCCCCGGCTGAGCTGCCGAATCCTCCCGGCTAATCCCCTGACCTGCCGCCTGAAACGGGACAACATTACACCACCTCACACACACTCCCCCCTCAGGGCTAAGCAGTGCGCAAGTCCACCCGAACTCTAGGCGAGGCATCGACCGCTCCTTTGGAATAGTGCCGTCAGTGGCTGCACTAGACGCCCATTAGATGGCGCGCGGCGCGGGCGGATGACTAGGGGAGAGAATGCGGAGAGACTAGCTCGCAGGTAGATGTGCTCAGCCAAGGGTAAGGGATGAGGGGATGTGTCAGTGTGAGGGGTGCACCAACCGCAGAGCGTCGTGTTTTGCCTTTGAAAACTGAACAGTTTTTTTAAGAAAGGGGCTTGGGAAGGCACCTCAAAGGGGAGGCCCCTATTGCGCCGCTGTCCCCCGTCCTTGCGATTCTTGCAACTGATCGGGTTTGGAAACCTCTTTTCACAGCATCCACGGCTTCTCATGTCCCGGACCTTGCGAACGGCGGCTTGCGTGACGCTCGTGCTCCGAATTGCAGTCGTTGAAGGCGGCTCGCCCTCCCTCCCGTCCTCGCACCGCCCCTCGCCTGCCGCACCACCGCCTCCGCTCGGGACTACCAGCACCCCGCTAGCCCAACTCGCACAACCGCGCGCTCGCCCCGCGTGCCGGCTCTGCGGCGGCGCCGCCGTTGCCCGCCCCCACACACCTTAGCCTCTTTCCTCACCCGCTCGCCTCCCTGCAGGCAAGATGATCCTCGCCGCAGCCACTCTTGTGCTCGGCTTCACACCCGAACGCAACGTCGCTGCTGGTGACAACAAGGTCAAGATCCTCAACTTTGAGACGGACGACAAAAACGCGGCGGCGCCTCCCCGTCCCCGCGTCCACGTGTACGACATGCCGCTCTCGGTGTCCTTCGAGTACGACGAGGCGCGTCCCCGTCTCAAGCCGTTCGAGTCCTACACCGGCGGGTACCGTCAGTACCGCACGGAAGCCCTCATCCCGGAATTGGTGCGGGCTAGCGCGCACTACGAGCCGGATCCCGACAAGGCGGACCTGTTTCTGGTGCCCTTTCGCGGCCTCGCTCGCTTCTACAAGCACCGGGGCGAGCCGGGCGGGCTCGAGAAGGTGGACGCCGAGTATGTGGCGGCCGTTCAGTGGCTGGAGGCGCAACCCGGCGGGTTCTTCCGCAGTCGGCCTGCGGACCATATGTGGATCTTCGGGTCGGGCCGAGGCGCGTCCATCTTTCCGTCGTGGCGCGAGCACATCGCCGATTGCATCTTCATCGGGCCTGAGGGGGACGAGCGCACGGGCCAGGTCGCGCCGCATGACAAGGACGTTATCGTGCCCGGCTACTTCGCGGCGGCGCCGCCCGCCGTCCAGAGCGCCGCCCTCAAGTCGCAAGCGGTCCGGCCCATCCTCGCCCACTTCCGCGGATCGTACACGAGCGCGCGTCCAGGCGAGGAGGACTTTTCGGAGGGCGTCCGTCTCGCACTTATGCGCGCGACGACGGCGTTTCGCTTGCCCCGTCACGTCATGGCGAGGAAGCTGTCCTCCGGCGTCGGCGCGTACAAGGCATCCCCGTTTGTCGTGTCGAACGCGTCGATTGATCCCGAGTCGTACGCGCGGGAAATGCAGAACGCGGACTTCTGCCTCTGTCCGATGGGCTCTTCGTCGTGGACGCTGCGCATTTACCAGGCCATCGCGTCGGGCTGCATTCCGGTCTTGCTGTCGGACCACATCTCGTTGCCGTTTGACTACACTGACTCTCCTGTCGACTGGCGGAAGATCGCGATCAAGTGGCCGCAGCGCGACGTCACGGGGCTCCTCGCGCACCTGTGCTCCTGGAGCGAGGCCGACATTGCAGCCACGCGCGCGCGGGTGCTCAACACCGCCCCTATGCTCCTGTGGAACGGGCCGGACTCGGGGGCGCTCGCTCAGACGATGCGCTACCTGACGACGGACCGCCCTTCGCACCGCCCTTCGCGCGCAGCGTCCGCGTGGTGGGGCCGGGGCGGCGAGCCCGTGGCGCCGCCCGTGGACGCACTCCCGATGGCACTCCCGCCGCCGGCGCAGCCAACTGTGCCGTTGGACGTGCTCGTCATGGTCAAGGAGATGGGCTGCGTTACGGATCAGAGCGTAAGCGCGTTGCGCAATCACGTCCGCCCGCACACGATCCACATCGTGGCCGACCGGTGCGAAGGTGGCGGGAGCGGCGGCGGCTCCGTGAAGGTGGACACATGCACCGAGACCCGCAACGTGATGCCCGAGTTTCCGTTGGAGATGGCGAAGCAGCTCATGGCCGCGCTCCATCCGGAGGTGCCCGCGGAGCGGACGGAGTGGTTGTACCAGCAGCTGCTGAAGTTCAAGAGCGTCCTCTCGCTCGGTCTTGGGACGAGCGTGCTGGTATGGGACGGCGACACCGTCCTCACGCGCCCGTTTCCGCTGCCGCTGCTCGACGAGCGGGGCACGGCTCTCTTGCTCCAGGGCACGCGGTATGATTCCCCCGCGTACTTCAACAAGTCCGGCGCCCTGCCCGTCGGGTATGCCGAGTCGACGAGGAAGCTTCTCGGCGTGAGCCCGCCCTGGGATACGTCCTTTGTGGTCCAGTGGCAGGTGTGGGAGCGTGCACTCGTGAAGGAGATGACGCGCTTGATCGAGAGCCGTTCCCATGAGCCGTGGTACCTCGCGATGCTGCGCTCCGTGTCAGATGCATCGACGGGCCTGAGCGAGTACACCCTCTACGGCACCTACGCGACCCAATGGCACGCCGAGCGGATTCGGGTCGCGTCGTCCTCGGAGGTGCTGTGGTTGCGTGACCACCCGCTCGGGCTTTTGGACGGCGATGGAACGTGCTGCCCGTCGCAGGAACGCTTGCGGGACATCGCCACGGGCGGCTTCGTCTACGTGTCGTGGGAATGCTCGCACAAGAGCGAATTGCGGCTCTTACCGGAGCTGTGGGACCGCGCCGGCACAGGGCCGCTTGCGCGCCGGCGCCTGCTCGAGAACAGCGCGCCGCCGTCGGCCGCACCCTACGCGCCGCCGTCGGCCGCACCCTACGCGCCACCGTCGGCCGCACCCTACGCGCCACCGTCGGCCGCACCCTACGCGCCGCCCTCCGCCTCGCCCTCACCGCCGCCGGCCTACGCGCCACCCTCACCGCCCTCCGCCTCGCCCTCACCGCCGCCGCTTCCACCTCTGGTTCCGGGTCTAGTCCCAGTCGAGACCACCTCCTTCACCATCTCCTTCGACGAGTCTGTGCGCCGCCTGCTGCGCGCTTTGCAGCAGACTGTCACCTTCACCATCTCCTTTGAAAAGATCAAGACTGCCGTGGTTGACACCATCGCCGCCGAATCCGTGACGGACATCACGACCGACCAGATCACCGTCGAGCCTGTCGACGGCAACCCGAAGGTCTTGAAGGTGACCATTTACCCGAAGGAGGGGCAGACCGCCTCGCAGATCCTCGACGCCATCTCCAGCGACCCCAACACCCTTCTCCAGAACATCGGCGAGGAGCTCGGTGAGAACGTGCCCACGCCCTCCTTCGTTGTCAATCCGTCCATCGTCACTGTTGGCGTCGCGCCGCCGCCGCCACCGCCGCCTGCCAAGAAGCGCGGCTGGGTCGTGGCCGTCGCCGTGTGCGTGCCCCTCGGCGTCGCCCTGCTCGCCCTCGGCGTGTACCTGCTCGTCAAGAAGGGCAAACTCAGCGTCCCGGGGTACGGCTCCGACCGTCCCTCGATGACCAAGCACACCGTCACCGAGGGCGTCTAAGATCACCGCTGCGGCGCGCGGGCGGCCCCGGACAAGAACGCTGCCGGGGCCAAGTACCCGGCCGTTCGCTGCCTGGGCCGCCTCATGTTGAATATGTCACGCGCGCAGCATCCTTTGCATGTCGGGGAGCACGGCGCACATATTGATCCTGCGCAAGACCGTCGTCCCCAGCCGACTATTGGCGACGGACGCATTGGGGTTGGCGTTGGCCCCCCTCCCCCCCCCCCCCACCCACACACACACTTCTGCCCCCATATACTGCGGTTCCGCTCGCAGCCGCCGGTGTGATTCAGCCGGTGAACACTCACCCTTGGTCCCTGTGCGTGCTCGAGCGTCAGGGCCGGTGGTGAGCCGTGCTAGAGTTTCTTTGTTGATAGATGGTATGGCGATCCACTCACCACGGCAAGTCGGTTCAACTCCCCGCGCGCCTAGGCCCGCGCGCCTCACAGGGGGTCCCAGGGATTCCTCTCTCGTATAGGACGGGTTGCACCCGGCGGCACGGCGGCAGGCGCGGGCCTCCTAGGACTGGTTGCGCTCTCCTAGTTCTCCTGCTCCTGACAAAAGGGATAGCGTCAGCGACAGGTTCGCAGCACGGTGGACTCCCTCCCTCTTCCACTGGCGATCTCTCTCGACTAGCGACCTTCCTCCGGCTTCTCACTGGCAATCTCTCGCTACCACGGGCACACTGACAGAGGCGGCCGAGGCACACGCCGAGGGTGGCAGGGGCGGTGATAGGAGTCTCCCACTCTGTGGGAGCTTCGCTAGAGGTGCGTCCTGCGTGTGTCCTCGTCCTTGAGGTCTTGAGAAGGGGAAGGGGAAGGGGCCAAAAACCGAACGAGGGATGGGGAGGAGGACAGGGTAAAGAAAGAAAGAAAGAACGCAGACAACCCAACGGAGGGATGGGACCGGGTCCCCGCATGCAGGACTTAAATTCTTTTTTGCGGGGGTGGGCGGGTGCACGGAGCTAAGTGCCTCGCCACCCTCGCAGGAGTCGCTTAGGCGGCTCCCGTGGTGTACCTGTGTTAGTGCCAGTGCGCGCCAGTCCCGTGCCTAGTGTTGTGCGACGGAGTTGTCTAAATTCTTTTTTCAGGGAAGACAAGGGCGTCGAAGTGCAGCTGCTGCTGTTCGAATCGTTCGGCGGGTTCGGAAAGGGGGTCCGTGAGATCCTCCGGAGAGCGGCGGACGTGCTACAGAACAAGCTGACGCGGGCCCAGTACCTCGATGAGGTGACTTGGACCACCAAGAGCTGGCTGGGGCTGCAGAAGCAGCGCATCTCAGTCGTTCTTCACACGGCCATCGCAGAGCAGGTCGTGAATGAGCTTGCCTGTGGCGGGGGTGGGCGGGTGCACGGAGCTAAGTGCCTCGCCACCCTCGCAGGAGTCGCTTAGGCGGCTCCCGTGGTGTACCTGTGTTCGTGCCAGTGCGCGCCAGTCCCGTGCCCAGTGTTGTGCGAGGGAGTTTTGTTGTAAGATTCTTTTTTCACGAGGCGAGAGCGAAGAGCCAACGCGGGCAACAACACCAACTCTCGCTCGCCTCTTTCGAGCCTTTTTTCGAGCCGTGATGGTGGACCGGGCCGACTCTGAGGCCCGCGACTACCTCGCGCAGCACGGCTACCAGCACGCAAGCAGGAGCCGCGCGAGCGCGATTGGCATCGACGGGCTGCTCGAGCAGGCGCTCTCGCCGCTCGCCTCCGCCGCCTCCGCCGCCTCCGCCGCCTCCGCCGCCTCCGCCTCCGCCGTCGCCGTCGCGCCGTCGCCGCCTCTCTGCGGCCACACTACTGTCGCCTCTGTCGCCGCGGCGCGAGCTCACGCCGCCCGTGCCGCGCCACGACAGGCGCTCTCGTCCGACGGAGGGATGCACAGCCGCAAGGGTCTGCGGCTCGGCCTCCACCTGCACCCCGAGCAGGAGGGCCCGGGGTACGTCGAGAGCTTCCGCCGGTGGAGCGAGTGGCTCGACGGCAGCTCCGCATCGCTGCAGCGCGAGCTGGGCGTTTTGCGCTTCCCGATCCTGCTGCACTGCTTCATTGGCATCGCGTGCCGGCTCGGCGACATGGCGCCCGCCCGCCGCTTCCTGCAGGAGCATGCGCCGAAGCTGCGCGACGAGGCGCAGCGGGCGGCGGCGAGCACGCTCGAGAAGCTGCAGCACGCGGCGCAGCTGCAGGAGCACGAGGGCGCGCGGCGCTACCTCGTGCACCGGACGACAGTGTTCTGCTCGCCAGAGGCGCGGGAGAGTGTGACGAGATGGTGGGAGGGTGTAGGAGAGTGGCCTCCGTTGGAGAGACGCTGCTCACGCGTCTCCGCCGCGGGGAGCAGGCGTGGGAGGCGCTGGTCGCCTTCCTCACCGCCTCGCAGCTCCCTCTCCTCCTCCGTGTCCTCACGAGGCACTTCGACGTCTTCGCCGTCGCCTCCGTCCCTCCCTCGCGCGCCTCGCCCTCGCCGCCCGCCGCGACGGACCCGGACCCGGAGGCCGGGGCGGCGGCGGTGGCGGCGGCACGCAGCGAGGGCGGCGCTCCCCCGCCCCCCGCTCCTTCCTCCTCGGCCGCCGCGACGACGTCGCCGTTGCCGCCGCCGCCACGCGCGTCGCCGCCGCCGCCTTCGGTCTGCCTGATCACCCAGGCCTCGTCTCACACCTCTCTCTGCTGCACCGACGTCTCGCCCCTCGCCGATGGGCTGGCCAGCGGCCCTAGATGCGCCACTCAGCACTCGTGCACCCGTCGTGGCCACCCTTCGCGCTCGAGAAGACCCGCACGCGGCTGTACCCAGCTGCAAGCCCTCAGCTGCATACGCGGCCTCTGCTTCCCGAAGTGTCTGCGCGTTCACACTGCACGTTCCCCACTTTAGGTCTGCGGCCGCGCGGACGGCGCGCTGCAGTTCTGCCGCTTCTCGCAGAGCGCGGCGACGCAGTCTCGCTTCGCCGCCAGCGGTGAGCCTTTCCGAGACACTTCCGAGACACTTCCAAGACACTTCTGAGACACTTTCGAGGCACGCGTGTTTCGTCGAGTCCTCAGAGCCGCGCTGGGTGAGCCGCCTCCGCGACACGCCCACCACACGCACCACACACGCACACCACACGCCCACCACACGCACACCACACGCACACCACACGCACACCACACGCACACCACACGCACACCACACACGCACACCACACGCCCACCACACGCACACCACACGCACACCACACGCACACCACACGCACACCACACACGCACACCACACGCACACCACACGCACACCACACGCACACCTCACGCACACCACACGCACACCACACGCACACCACACGCACACCACATGCACACCACACGCACACCACACGCACACCACACGCACACCACACGCACACCACACGCACACCACATGCACACCTCAGGGGTCGACCTCGAGTCGCGCTGCCGCGTCGTGCCCGGCCACAGCGGACCTGTCTACAGCGTGGCTCTGTCGCGCAACCTGCAGCATGTGCTGAGTGGCTCCCAGGCTGCCCGCCCGCCCCGCCACATCGCCCCTGCCGTCGCCGTCGCCCTCCCCCGCCGCCGCCCTCCCCGCCACCCTCGCCCCGCCACCCTCTCCCTCGCCGCCGCCCCCGCCGTCCTCTCCCTCTCCGTCGCCCCCGCCGCCCTCACGCCCTCCTGCCGCCGCCGCCACCGCCCCTCCGCCCCCGCCCCCCCCCGCCCCGCCGCCCCCGCCGCCCTCACGCCCTCCCGCCGCCGCCTTTCGTCGCAGGACGGGTCGGTGCGGCTGTGGAGCTGGCATCAGGCCGCGTGCCCTCCTCTACTCTCAGGCGCTGCCACCTCGGCTGATCTCGGGTTCATCTCGGCTGACCTCCCTCGCAGGCGGCCGTCCTCGCCACGTACCACAACCACGGCAGCCGTTGCGCGGCAGCAGACTTGTGCTTCCGAGCTTGACGCTGACCCGTCTCGGAGGGCTGCCGATAGGCTACCCCGTGTGGCACGTCTGCCTCGCCTCGCACCAGTCGCACTTCCTCTCCTGCTGCCACGACGGGGGTCTCCGCCTCTTCGACACGCAGAGGCTCTCCCCGCTCCGGCTGATGGCGCCGCCATGCCTAGATGCGGGCTCCACATCCCTGTCCTTCCAGCAGCACTCTCCCGAGGACACGCAGTCGGCCAAAGTCGACTGCATTGCGCGCAGTCGGCCAAAGTCGACTCCGCTTCGCGGTGCTCTGACTGCGCCGCACGATACCGCAGCCCTGACCGCCGCGTATTCATAACTAGGCCGGCCACCTCGCGGACGTCACCGCCGCCACCTTCCACGCCTCGGATGCGTACGCCCTCTCCGCCTCGCAGGACTGCAGCCCCCGCGCACCGCACGCCTGGGCGACCCTCCCTCCCCCCCCCCCCGCCCGGCCCGAGGAGCAATCGGACGCAGGAACTGGCGGAAGTGTCCCCCAGTCCCAGGGTGCCGTCCTGTGCGACAGCGGGGAGGGGGAGCTCCTACGCCAAAAGCCCGTGGTCGTGATTGCTGGGGCAATACCGGGCGGGGTCAAAAAAACAGAGATTTCCCCCCCCGGCCAGGGGGATTTCGGGGTTTGCTCCTCTAAGAAAAAAAACGAGCGGTTTGTTTTATTATGGGGGAGAGGAGGGTTGGACCGGTAATCTCCCCCCAAGGGGGGGGCCCC